AGCGCAATTAATACATAATTTATTTTAAATTACTTTATTTATCAGTGACATTTCAAGAATATATCAAAATGATTTAATGTTTTTTTTATGAATATATTTCTCTAGAGTATATTATACTGTAAATTTACGCGTAGTGTACTAAGGCAAATCTTATAACCATATTCACCAATTTTGTGTGGATAAGTTCAAAATCCTCAAATGCTTTAATTTGATTCTTTAAATAAAAATATTTCACTACAACATCTTCTGTAAAGAATGATGGAACATGATAGCAATTTCGAATTCCGCTATAAAAACAAAAAAAAAAAAATGCATAAATATGTTTGAGATTGGTATAATTTGTATGTGATAACAAAATAGCTTTTATAAATTTCTTTGAGTTGTATGGATTAATTTATTGTAATATGACAAGATTGCAAAAAAGACTATTTTGAAAGTTAACAGTCTTAAGGACAACAGCAACGATCATATTTTATTCAGTTGGACAAAACGTATTCTCAGTTAATAATTACATCAAGATCAACGCCAATTCACAGTGACCGCATTTAAATTTAGTTACAGTATAACTAACATAACAAAAATTTATGCAATAAAGCGACTATTTCCTATGTAAAATTTTGAGTTTGCTGGTGGAGTCTATATATTTTAAAATATAGAAATTATGATTTTGTAACTAGCGAATAAAATGAGTGCTAAGAAAGGAAATCTAAACTTTGGATTTTAATGTTCATAATTTATCAAACTTTACCCTGACAATCTATGACGTGTCGCTTGTCAGATTTGTTCAAGTGCGAGTTCGATAAATTATAAACTTCAAAGCCAAGTTTTCTCATCAAATAATCAATTATTAATATTTATAAATTGTATATTTATATACTGTTCATTTACGCAAAGTATAAATGCCATTATAACTCCCAAACGTTTCGAATGACTAAGTGAACAAAAAATGACCAGTATAAATAAAAAAATCATTTGGAAATTCTTGCTCGCAAGAATATACGAAAATTCATTGGTTTAACATTTTAATATCCATTTACATACCAAACTTGAGTAGTTTAAATTTCATCAATATTCAACTTATTCAAATCGCTATCTGTTAAAGAATATAATTAGTATTAAAGAATAAATTAATTATCAAATAACAAAAGAAATACCTTGATAATATGTTGCGGTATAAGTAATAAATTTTCTTTTTGAAACATCAACGGAATATGATTGAATAAGAGTGCTTTGAATATTTTGTAATATCTCATCAGATTTTTCTAATTCTAATAAAATATTTTCATCGCTTTGCCACTCTGTAAGAATTTCGCTGATTTTTATTGCTGATGGACGGTTTTCTGGTTCTCTTTCCCAACATTTCTTCATTAAACTTATATAACATAGTGGTGTGTTCTCAATAATTGTTGGTCTTAAGTCATTGCGACTTATTTCAAATTGAAGTTGTGTTCCAAAATTTTGATTATAAGTTACTGATTTTCCATATAAAACTTCCCACATAA